CGAATCGGTTTCAGCTTTTCTGCTAGCCACTTTGCAATTGCATGATATGGCAAATTGCACATCCGGTTTGTGAATCTTAGGCAAGCCAAGTGATTTTGGCTCACTTGATTGACAGCGGTCACCGGGTAGACGTAAACCAAGCGTTTCGAGTCTTGTATAAATTTCAGGCGAGACATTCCAAGTTCCTGCCTCGACGGATACTTGCGTCGGCAGAGGCAGTCGCCATACGCCTCAAATGGGTAAATTGAATTTGTCTAGGCAGATACGTAAAAACCTTCAATAACTACGCCTAAAAATGCATTTTTCGACATGTGCATGTAATATTGATTGAACCAAAATATCCGCCACCAAATGGGTATGGTGTGAACACCATATCAGCAGCATCAAAGGACAAGAAGGTGCAAGGACGGAATAAATGGGTTAAATGTGTTTCTTTACTTGGATTTGGTGTCCGTTGAGATCCCATATGGATCTTCGACGACCTTCTTCTTTCCCGGTTCCTTAAAACAACGCTTTCCAACATCATCATTGCAGTTTGAGGGTATGTTATTGACCTTGTAATCGCTGAAAAAGCGCATATCTCTTCCGTCCACATGTGGCCGTTTGCTGTTTGGTTTAAATTCGTGGCGCCAGGGAATAACTGTCAGAGAGGGAAATAAGTGATCAATGCTCAAGCGAGTGGAAGCACCCACCATCGGCAACACAATCGCTTTTCGGGGACTGCACACCGTGTATTCGAGAGAAGGCTTCGTTGGTTGCGCAGCAGAGTCTCGCGGATTCCCCAAGGGCGGGCTGCATGATAATCAATAGAACAAATTTAATGAGCTCTGGCAACATAGTGTTCGAGGTAGGAACTGTTATAACTCCTGTGAAAAGCAAATTATATTGTTAGGGGGTGCGGCAGATTTGCTTACTTTAGTTCGCCCAATTGTGAAAAATTCGCGGCCTCGGTGGGAGTCGACCCCACCAAAATCGATCCAAGTGCGGCGATTAAATTCACGGTTCACTGTGAGCCTCGTAGCTCAATGCTGAAGCGTTGGCCGCGAAATACCTTCCCTGCTGTATGGGTTCGAC